AGACCTTAACCAGAAGGGAAAACGTTAATAAAAGGGACTTCTTTAAATTAAAACTTTGCTCCTTAACAGGTATCACTAAGCCATGTAAAGGCAAGCCCGTGTCCCATGGCTGTATTACACATAGCCCCGACAAAGGACTCTTACTGAGAACATGTAAAGAGCTCCTAGAAACCAGTAAGAAAGTGACAAGCAACTCAGTTTACAAAAAGTAGTTGGAAAGAAAGAAAAAAAATGAAAGAGAGAAGTTGTTGAAGGGCTGCGGGTGTGGCCTGGTGACAGAGTACCTGCTTGGCATGCATGGGGTTCTATGTTTGATCCCCTGCACTGCAAACAAACAAACAAACAAAAAACCAAAAACAAAAACAAAAAAGTGAGTAGTTCCCAAAAGCATTTTCCAGAAAGAGAATATCTGAATGTTTGCAGGGAGGGAGGGAAGAAGTGGTGGGGAGTGATACGGGCCAAATTACACTGTGACATTGTGGGCCTGTACAAATAGGTAATAACAAATCCCACCACTATGTGCAACTATCATGCACCAGTAAAAAATATGAGGGGGAAGAATGAATATTCAATTGACCTATTAATATAAGAAAAAATACTCCACCTCTTTAATCATCAGGAAAAATAGAAAATAAAACCACTCCGAGATAACCATTTCATAAACCACCAGAACAGCCAAAGTCTAAAAATAAACCGACTTCGCCCAGCGTTAGTGAAGCTGTGGAGCAGCTGCCCCGCCCTGCCCAGGAGGAGCAGGAACTAACCCCCTGCAGAAAACCCCTCGGCTGGACCTGTGCATGTCCTAGGGCCCTGCACTTCCACTCCCAAATTCACGCCCAGCAAATGTGAGGACATGTGTTCACCCAAAGACACCCACCAGGACGCCCACGGCAGACCACACAGAGTTGCCCCACGGGGGACACGTGGAAGGGGCTACAAAGGGGAAGTGGGTTTTAACCCACGTGGTGCATCGAAGCTTGACCCAGGGGTGGTGATGCTGTCTGAGCTGGCTTGAGCAGGTTTGTCTCTTATAACCAAAGGCTCCTGGGCCCAGCCGGGGCTCCACCCCCCTTTCCTGCACCCACTGGCTGATCTAGCCACCTCGGCCCTGCCCACTCTGGGATCCCCAACACCTGGCACAGGTGGACGCTGGCTGGCGAGGATTTCTCAAGTGTGTAAACTGGCCTCCTTCAAATGACATGATTCCCACTCTGCTCTCTGCATTGGCCCTCGCAGCCCTCCTTCCCACCATCCTTCAAAGTGCAACTCAGCATCTCCTCCTCCAGGAAGTCCTCCTGCCCTGCTACCACACCCCTGTGGGCTTCCCCTGCCTTCAGGCGGGTCTAGCCACCGACTCTGCTTCCTACCCTCCCGGGTGGGACCTGTGGAGGGCAAAGCCTTGCTTCCTGCAGGGATCAGAAGGAGGAGTTTTGGTTAAGGGAGTTTCACACTCTTGGAATCCATTCATTTTTGCATCAGACAAAAATACCAACATTGCTTTTGTGCCTCCTGTGTGCAGGCCGACGGGAGGCCGTGTAGTGGAACGGGGAAAAGACAGGCTAAGGGATGAGATGGACACCCCTGCCCGCTGCATCCCTCACACACACCCAGTCAGGACTGTGGAAGAAAAGCCCAGGGTGTTATGAATGTGAAAGGAGACTGACCTCTGCTTGGGAAGTGTCCGAGGAGAAGAAGGAGTAGATAGTCAAGGGCAGGGCAGGAGTGAGGAGGGGGTGAAAGAATTATAAGCAGAGGAAACAGCATGTGCAGAGGCCCGGAGATGGAATGTATGGCTAGAATCTAGAACCCAGAGTTTAGGAGAGAGAGTGGCCCAGATGGGCCTGGAAGGTCAGGTTGGAACCTTGATGAGGTCTGATGATGGATGACCTGGGAAGGGGACCCATTCAAGGTTTTAGGCAAGTAAGTCATGTGACCTAGTATAGGGTGGGAAGAGGCTGTGGCTTTGGTCACTTGGGAGCCTAGGGCTGGACTTGTAGGAGCTGGGGGCTTTTGTCTGTGGCCTGCTGCAGGCAACCTGTTCCATGTGGGGTGGGACCATACATTCTGGGAGGAAACCCTCCCGGGGGGCTCTGAGACCCTGCCCTGGCCCCCTCCTGGCTGGGAGCCCCCTGTGTGGAGCTGCAGGGTACCACTAAGGTACCACTAAGGAGGCATCATGTTATTTTAGTGATTTTTAGAAAAACTGGATTGAAGACTCAACCTCGCCCTTTGGGCCGGCTGTGCCCACGTGGGCCTCTGTGTTCTGACTGCAGGCATTTGTTCTGTGTCCTGACCTTTTTATGGAGCCGTTTTAGTTGAATGTAGTCATTTTCTAGCCGGAGGAGGCTGGACAGAGGGTGGCAGCGTGGACTCTCAGCAGGGAGGTGGATATTTGGCTGCGCAGCACTGGCTTCAGGGCATGCTGGGAAGGGAGCGGGAGGACTTGGGCAGGGAGGAGGGCTGATGGGCAGAGCGCAGCTCTTCCAGGCTGACCCGCGTGGGGAGCCTCTGGCCTGGTGTAGGCTGGCTCTGAGATTCCAAGACAGGGACAGTAACTGTGCTCCACGTCCGTCAGGGAGCCTTGGACCTTCCACACAGAAGCCAAGAGGAGCAGGCAGGCAGGTGGGGTCCAGTCACGGAAAAGCCCTGACCTGATGCTCAGCGCGTAGAGGGCAAGGGAGCCGAGCTTAACCAGAGCAATACCTGGTGTAACTATGGTGACAGACACTTCCCTGAACGCTTGGGAGGTGCACCCATTTCACAGATGAGGAAGGTCCAAGGTCACACAGCTACAGTCCAGGCAATCTGGCTCCAAAGCCAGGCTATGCTCCCCTCTGGCTGAGATGCTCACCCCATAATTGGGCTTTGGAAAATGGATGCAGCAGTAGGGAGAACCTAGACAGGTCTGCACCCGTGAGTCCAGGAGACGGAGTGCCCTGGATTGGAATACAATCGTCCTTGACTACACCCTGGGAGCTCTTTAGAAAGGCCAGGATCTCCTGTAGGTGGTCCCAGTCTGTCCAAAATGCATGGATGATGCTGTCCCATAAGCTTGGCTGACAGAGGCACTGGGCAATGATGCTCAGGCTCCCGTGCCTCGAACCCATGTCATTCATTCAGTGGTTCATTCAACCGTCATTGCACTGAGCCACTACTACATGCCGGTCTTATGGGTGCCAGGGCATCATGTCAATTATCAAGAGAGGGTCTTCTTTTCAGTGGTACTGGGGAAAATGGGAAAGACGTTAAATACACATTTATAGAGCTAAAAATTGTGATAAGGGCTTTGAAGACGGAAAGCAGGGGGCCGTGATATCATATTCCAGGAAGGGTGACCTAGTCGTTTTGGGAATGAGATTCCTTAGGCTTGAGAATTTTAAGCAGAATTACATGGAAATCGGGAGTTCTATGGAAGCTATTTCCAGAGTTCTCTAAGCCTTGAAGTTATATCTGAATTAAATATATATGTAAAAATACAGTTCATCTCTGCCGCTTCCCTTGACATTCGCGGGAATTGGTTCCAGGACCCCCTGAGGAAACCCAAATCTGCAGATGCTCAAGTCTTTTCTCTAAGTTGGCACAGTATCTGCATATATCCTACCCACATCCTCCCAGATACTTTAAGTCAACTCTAGATTACTTGTAATACCCAGCACAATGTAAATACTACGTGAATAGTTGTCACACCGAATTGTTTAGGAAAAAAATGACAAGAAAAAAAATCTGCCTGTGTTCAGTAGAGATGCAATTGGCTTTTTTTTTTTCCCCCCTTGGATGTTTTTGATCTGTTGGTTGGTTGTCCTATGGATACGGAGCCATTGTCAATGAGGAGGCCAATGGTGTGTGTGTGTGAGGGGGTGGGCATTAGTTGTGTGTGTGTGTGTGTGTGTGTTTTAGTAGTAACAAAGAGCACTCTGCTTCTCGGTTGGGTGTTGATAACTCACCTTCCTTGGGCATTTGAGGACCTGGAGTCCCTGGAGTTTATTTTTAATGTGCCTCCTAATTAGGAGAGATGCAGCACCACGTTTGTTTGTATTTTACTCTTAAAAATTCAGATGTGGGAGACTCTTTAATTGGATTTACTACAACTTTTTTTTTTATCATTTAGGATTTTCTTGTTCTTATGCAGTCAAAACAAATTTAGAGAAAACCCTGAATAATGAGGTCCCACGTCAGACCTCCTCTGGGGTCAGGTGGCCGCAGGCACTGAAGCAGCCGTGTTGTTTTTCTTGTCTTTTTTTGTTTTTACAGCAAATAGATGTTGCGCGTTTGAAACTGCAGATTATCTGTTTTATACGTATTTCCCATGTTGCTATTTTTGGGTGGGATTTTAAGGAAAGACAGCAGTTTTCCGAGCAAGGTGACTCTGGTTCATAAGGATGGATTGTCTACTCAAAGTAACTAAAAGGGAGGGTCTTTTTTCTTGTTTTGAGGCATCGGGGCTGGAAGCCAGGGCCTCACAAAGGCCCGACCAGCACTGGGCCTCTGAACTACATCCCTGGCCCCAAAGGGAGAGTTGTGAATGTTCCCACCACAAAGAAATGATAAATGCTTGCCCTGAAAGTACGCTAACACTCTGATCTGATCATATCGCAATGCATCCATGTATCAAAACATCATGCTGTACCCGTAAATATCTACAAGTATTATTTATCGGTTCGAAATAAAATAAAATGGAAAAGAAACAAATTAGAAAGCGTCGGCTTTGGTGCGGATGGTGCTGGAGGCCTGGGCACATGGCCTCCCCGCTGCTACCTCTTAGGCCCCTGTCCTCACCTGGGATGCCTCTCATAGGGCCTCTCACCTGCTCCTCACCCACCCTCTGTGGCCTCCCCCTCCCTCCCAGCCCCTGATGGTGGCCTGAGTTGGTAGACAGCAGCTTGAGTGGAACTGGGACTGACAGGACCCCGGACCAGGTGGGAAAGCTGCAGGTCCCCACCCCTGGCTGAGCTCTGGCCCAGCCCCAGGTGGGAAGAGGACATCAGGGGCAGCTCACTCACCCTTCTTGGTGGCCTCAAAGCTGTCATGGAAGTGAATCCTCTGGATGTCGTAGGTCAGGGTGGTGTTGGGCAGCAGGGTTCTGTTCCTGTTGATGATGTTGGCGGAAAATCGGAAGGCGTGCTCCTCGGCGTTCATGACCTGGGCATTGGGGCCGTCCGCATACTCGAAGATTCCTCCTGGGAGAGATAGTAGAACTGTGTGGCGGGGAGGAGGGACAGCATCCAGCAAAGCTGCTAGGCTCAGAGGGTCTCCAGGACAAGGTCCCCCCACCCAGTGTTCAGTAACCTCCCAAAGAACTGCCGCAGAGACAAACTGTGCCAGGGCACAGGATTTATGAAAATCCTCCTGGTTCATGTCACCCCACTAGCAAATTCCTGATCACACAGAGCCGAAAGGGGCCAAAATAATCAACTTATTAATATTGCTATGAAAAATTCTCGATAGAGTTCTGGCAAGTATAATCTACCAGAATATCACTAGGATAACTACCATGACCATTCCAGAAATGTAAGACCGGTTCAATATCAAGAAATCCATGATTATCATCCACCACATCAATAGTTCAAAGGAGGGGAAAAAAGATAATCAACTTACAAAATGCAGGAAGGCATTTGAAAAAATCCAATATCTACTGCTATTAAGAACGCTTGATAAAATAGCGCCAGAAAGACACTTTCTTGAAGCACCTTTAGCTCATATCAGCCTTTAATATCACACTAACTAGTATCTAGTGAAACACTGGAGGCATTCTTGTTAAAAGGGGGAAAAAAAGAAAAAAGAAAAAAAGGCTGTGGGTAAAGATTTGCACTGTACCAATAACCAACGAGACAAGACAGAAAATGAATTCAGAGCACAGCTTTTGGAAAGGAATAAATTCTTATTTGCAAATAATATAAATGTCCCCCCAAAAGCCCTTAAATTAATTCACAGCCATGAGAACAAGTAAGAGCTAGTAGGAGAGTTGAACTAAATGATCAGTTAGCCCAAATTAATAGTATTTCTTTATAACCGTGACAACCATTTGGAAGTCAGCGGAAAAAGGATTCACTTTACAATATCAACCCAAATATTCATTAGCAAATAATAAACCAAATAAGAATTGTACAATTGCAGCTTTTAAAAAAAAACTGACAAAAACAAATAAAAACATCTCAAGTGAGGAATATAAACATAGTCTTTTCTGGGCCTGGTGGTGCACACCTGTAATCCCGGTGACTTGGGAGACTGAGGCAAGAGGCTCACAAGTTCGAGACCAGCCTCAGCAACTTAGTGAGGCCCTAAGTGACTTAGTGAAACCCTGTCTCAAAAAATAAATAGATGAATCATAATAATATAAAAAAAAAGAACTGGGGATGTAGCTTAGTCATAAAGTGCCCCTGGGTTCAATGTCCAGTACCAAAAACATACTCATCAACAAAACAACCACCACAACAAACAGAGGAGGTTCCTAGGAGGTTCCTATGTTCCTAGGTAGCAAGGTTCAAGGTGCTAACTTTCACCAAATTAAGTTTTCAGTTTAATTCAGTTCCAATTAAAATCATAGAAGGATTTTTTTTTCTTTTTCTTGGCAAAATGATTCTAAAACATACCTGGAAGACTAAACACAAGATAATGACCAAAAACTGTCTTTATAAGAACAATGAAAGGTGACTTGTATTGCCAGACCTTAAAGTCTATTACTAAACCAAAATAATTAAAACCACATTGCAATAGTGTATGAAAACAGAGCAACCGAATGAGAGGAAAAGCCCCTAGAGAGAGATTCAAATAGAGGTAAACATTGAAAAAATTATAAAGGTGGCTATTTCCCACTGGTCAGTAAAGAATGAATTACTCATTAATTGTGCTCTGACAATTGTTCAATTATTTTGGAGAAATTTTAGACTACAATCTTAACCTGTGCATCGAAATAATTTCAGATGGATTAAATATTCATTGTAAGAAAATATGAACGAGAGGAAGAAAACCCTATAAAATTACCCCAAAGAGAAAATATAGGTGAATATTACACAGTATTGGGGTGGAAAAGGCCTTTCTAAGTATTTTAAGAAAGATAAAAACTGTAGAAGAAAGACTTATAACTCCATATAAATAACACAAAACTTCTATGCATCAAAATCACGCTAAGCGAATCCCAAAAAACCAAAGGCCGAATGTTCTCTCTTATAAGTGGACGCTGATCCATAATGGCGGGGATATGGGAAAAATGGAGGAGCTTTGATGGGGCCAAGGGGAGGGGAGGGAGGGGAGGAGGGATGGGGCAGGAAAGACGGTGGAATGAGACGGACATCATTACCCTAGGTACATGTATGACTGCACATATGGTGCGAGGCTACATCGTGTACAACCAGAGAAATGAAAAGTTGTGCTGCAATTGTGTTCAATGAATCAAAATGCATCCTGTTATCATATATACCTAATTAAAATTTAAAAATTAATTTTAAAAAACTACCATAAACAGCTGGGTGTGGTGGCCCACACCTGTAATCCCAGTGGCTCAGGAGGCTGAGAGAGGAGGATCGTGAGTTCAAAGCCAGCCTCAGCAACTTAGTAAGGACCTAAGCAACTCAGTGAGACCCTGTCTCTAAATAAAATACAAAAAAGGGTGGGGATGTGGCTCTAAGTTCAATCCGGGATACCCAAACAAAACAACTACCGTAAATAGCATTAAATGGCAAACAATGAACTTGGGGAAAATATTTGTAACATATATGGCCGTATAAAGGTTGATGTTCTTATGTTCTTATTTTATAAAAAGCACTTCAGGGGCTGGGGTTGTGGCTCAGCAGTAGAGTGCTTGCCTTGCACGTGTGGGGTGCTGGGTTAGGTCCTCAGCACCACATAAAAATAAATAAATAAAATATTGTGTCCAGCTACAACTAAAAAAAAAAGACACATAAAAAAGCACTTAAACTCAACAAAAAACATAAAAACACAAAATGAAAAATGAAAAAAAATGTAAAAAAAAACATAAAAACACAAAATGAAAAATGAAAAAAATTTGCAAAACAATAAAAATATGAATAAGCTATTAACGACTGGAGATAATTAAATAAACTCAATTTAAATCCACAGTGAGATTCTATTTTTTTGCTCCTCTAATTGACTAAGATATGAAACAAACCATGCTGCCCCACTTTGGTAGGGTGTTTGGAAATGGCTACCTGCTTAACTCTTGGTGGATGGGGAAACCAGTCCACCTGCCTTGACTGCAGCCATTAGAAATATATCAAAGCATTAAATATGCTCATGTCTTTGATTCAATACTTTGATTTCTAGAAATTCATTGCACAAATAGGCACATGGATCATGTATGGGGAAGGAGGTCTAGAATTGTCCAATAAGAGAAGCAGGAAATCAGCAGGAGTATATCTATATAATGGCAAAAATGTAATGATATGCTAGGTGTAGTGGCACACACCGGTAATCTCAGAGGCTTGGGAGGCTGAGGCAGGAGGATGGCAAGTTCAAAGCCAGCCTCAGCAACTTAGCAAGGCCCTGAGCAACTTAGCAAGACCCTGTCTCTAAATAAAAAATAAAAAGGAGTGGGGATGTGGCTCAGTGGTTAAGTACCCCTGGGTCCAATCCTAGGTAGCAAAAAAAAAAAAGTAATGATATGGAAACTATCCATAATGTATTTTAAATGAACAAGGAAGGTGTTTGCAAGAAACTTAGATTCTAACTCAGAAGATAGGAGGAGAAGCTGGGGGGCGGACTTAAATCATTAACACGAGAATGAAAGGAGACATGGCTTATTCTGTTTTCATGTTTTTCTTTATTTTCTAATAAAACTTTATTCTTTTAAAAAATTCAACTTCATCGGACTGGGGTTGTGGCTCAGAGGTAGAGCACGGGCCTAGCATGCGTGAGGCACTGGGTTTGATCCTTAGCACCACATAAAGTAAAATAAAGACATTGTGTCCACCTATAACTAAAAAATAAATATTTAAGAAACATTCAACTTTACTGAGGCTGTATTTACTTTCCACAAGATTCACCTGCTTTCAGTCTACGGCAATGTTTAGTAAATGAGCGAGTCACACGACCATCACCACCATCCAGGTTTCTGATTTCCCCATCACCTAATATGACCCCATCGGACAATTTTGGTCACCCATGATTTTCACTTCCAGCCCCAGGAAACCACTGATTTACTTTCCATCACTAGAGATTTGTCTTTTCCTAACATTTCATATGCATGGAATCGTGTGTTCCTTTGCGGTTGGCTTCGTGCGCTCGGTTGTCTGAGGTTCATCAATATTGCAGTGTGTATCAGCACCTCATTCCTGTTTATTGCTAAATATTATTACTTTAGAAGGATGCACCACATTTTATTTATCCACCCACCAGTTGGTGGGTATTTGGATTGTCTTAATGGCTTTTGGAAGTTTCTTTTTTTGTAGAAATAGGGGTTTCCAGTTTCTGGTCTGACAGCTAAGAAGCTTGGAAGCTGCTGCTGCACCCTACAGAGTAAAAAGCGGAAGGAACTAAAACACCAACAACTGTTCCTGGCTCTGTGAGAGAGGCCAGGCACCAGGGCAAACCGCTGTCTCCCAAGGTGGGGAGCCGGAGAGTGGAGGGGGGGATCAGGGTGGAAACCTCCGAGGTGGGAAGATCCAGAGTGCAACTGACATGCTGCGGGGCTCCTGTGGGAGACAACTCCAGGGGACTTACGTTAGGTCCCACAGCTCTGTGAGTTTCAGCCTGGAGCTCTACCAGGTCCCTGCAGTGAAGGCTGCAGACAGACCCTCACGTGCTTTGGGCAGTGGGAGGGGAAAGGGAGCCATTGCAAAATATGGCCGAGCGTTCTGTTGCTGGAGGTGAAACTAGGTCACCAGAGCCTACTGCTGGGGTTTTAGTGAGCCCAGTGGACCTGAAGGAAAGGACCCAGCCAACTCCAGCCATCTCCAGCCACCCTGTCCCACCAGAGCGGGTGGAGTGAAGAAAGTGGAAATCACCTGCGACGTTCACCGTGCAGAAGCCCCAGCGCACTGCAAGACTGCATCCTACACCCCTCACCCCACCACCACACGACCACCACGTGACCAAACGCCTATTGACAGCACTTTCTTTTACCTGGCACAGCATGACAGGCTATCACCAAGGACAAAAAGAATTACAGGGCAAAGTCAATGGCAAAAAGTACATTTTGAAGCGTCAGAGCAAGCATCAGCAC